TGCTCTTGCATGTACCATTTATCTAGGGCACGGATGCCCTGGAGTAATAGAAGCCTCTCCCTGCTTCCAGAGGGCCCGGGCCAGCCTCCCTGCTCCCTGTGGCCGGGCCTGTGTGTCCCTGCCTTGCAGTCCTGCGTGCAGATGGGTCTGTATCTGTGCTCCTGCAGGCAAGGCCGGGGTGCTGTCCCCGTGCAGGGCTCCCTGGGCAGGGAGGCGGGTGGGCTCCCCTGGGTCCTGTGGTGCAGCCGGATGCACCCGCTCTCTTACAGTCTCTGCAGGGCTTGGCAGAGAGCACACCTGGTGTGCTGGAGCTGTGGTCCATGCCCAGGATCAGCTGCAGAAACAGCAGACAGGAAGGCTCTGAGGAACATCTAGGTGTGTGCTGTCCTGATGGTCACAACTGTGTCTTCTTAAAGATCTCCAAGTCTTCTTGCCTGCATCTTTTGCTACTTCTATGAGGCAGGCTCCTAGAAGCTGCCAGAAGTTGCTCTGTCTGCTGCTACCTGTTTGAAGAGGGAGAAAAGCAATCTCTGCTTTTAACCACGTGCACGGGCCTCACCTCTATCTTCCTTTGCCCCAGCAAGTCAGTAGTAGAGGGTGCTTCACCAGCCCCCGTGGTGTAGCCCAGCACCCTCCTGGGGGCTCATGTCCAGCACCACCATCAAGACCGGGACTCCTGCCCATCAGCGAGGGACATTTGTGGACCAGCCTCTGCTCTAGCCATTTTTCTTTTGCAGCCTGCAGGGCTAGTAGGAGCGGTCCTTCAAGGAGCGCAGCTATGTGCTTGGCACAGCTCCTTGGTGCTTAGCCGGGTGGTGGTGAGAAGGATCCCTGGTACACTTGTCTGGAGACTGGCAGGATTCATCCCACTTCCTGGAACTTCAACTCCAGCTGCTTCCCTGTGCTTTTCCAGATGTTCATTCCTCTTCCACCTGCAACTGTTATAAACATCAGTGTAGTGCTACCCTTTCATACTGAGCCAATGTAATCATTTTGTCAGCCCATTCAAGTAGTGTTCTCCAGGACAAGCACTGGCTCCTTAGGAATCTTTCTGCCAAGCTGCTGTATTTTGAAAATCTTCCCTTTGGGATATCAGAGTTTCATACTGCATGTGATGAATGTCAGGCAGTAATTGGAGACTGAATACACAAGATGACAAATTGAGTATATTTGGCACCTGCAAATGTCTCGGTGCTTGTATTCTTGGTAATTTTATTTGAAACTTCCTAGTATTTGAAAGCAGAAAATCAAAAGTTTACCCTGTCAAGCTAGCTGGCATTTCTCCCATGTCTTTCATTAAGTGATTTTTAAAACATCTTGGAGGAAGGGAGGTGTGTGGTGAAGGAAATGGCAAACTCCACTCTGCTTTTAATTTGACCAGCTGTATTTGCTCAAACATGTGCTTATTGGCTATCAAGAGTGCGATCCAGAGGGAAAACTGTGATACACTAACAAAGAGTAACTACAGTGAATGAAGCAGATTTCTCCTTTGGTGGAGCTTGTCTTGTCAGTATTCACTGCTCAGTTTTGAACTTGGAAGAAAACATTGCAGAATGGTAGCAGCAGCAACTTCCCAATAGGAATTAAAAATCATAGGAGGGGGCATTTTGATAGAAAACCATGGGAAAGAATGGCTTGCGACTTTTAATGGGGTTGCCATTATGGACTAAAGCACACTGTGTGGGGCTTTTTTGCTTTTCAAATGACAGCACAGATTAGACCTTTTGTTAGTAGTGATCTGGGTGCTTTCTTTGTATGCAGGAATGGGGACCTTGTCTGGGAAATGTAAAATGGAGGAACAGAAGTGTTTTACTACTTCCATACTTTTTTTTTCTTCCTTTAATCCTCAGTTCCTGAATTCATATAACTGCAGGAGGATCTCCATTTTCATGAGAGTAAGGGAGAGTAAGTTTATAGCCCTGCTGGTTGCAGCAGAAGTCTTGAAAATGTGATCTCTAAAGACTCGAACCAGTAAGCAAAGTCCTAGTTTCATAATCAAAAGTATATTTTTAAATTCCTGGAATTGCCCATAATGTGACAGTTAAACCGTTATACACAAAAATAACAAACTGGGCTGTTATTTCCTGGTCTACCTACATGGCATAGGCCAGAATTACAGAAGCACAGAGCACTGTGTCATGCAAGTTAAGCTCATAAGCAGACTTGTCCTGCAAGCTGAGTTTCCTGTTCCCTGTCCCTCATGCTTAACTGTCTCCACTCTGCTGAACTCTGTCCTTGTAGCTCCTGACCTGGAATTTCCGTGCCTGCTCTCAAGCTAAATATGGAGGGAATATTCTTATGTGTGCATGTGGAAGCAGCTGATCTAACAGAAGTGTTTCAAACATATGATTAATATAGGGATTACATCTTTCTTGTAGTATCTTTTCTTGAAACTCAAGAAAAAATTTAATCTTTCCTTGGGTTTACTGTTAAAATTTGGTGGTGGCATAAATGAAATTAGTCCTCCTTTGGACTTTGCAGCATAAAATTTGTCTCTTTCATCTTCAAAGCCACAACAGGCTGTTCTCAATGTTCCTTTTGCGGCATGAAAAAATTAAGAAAATATGCCCCTGCTTCATTTCTAATGTGTGTTTTAACTTAATCTCATAACAAGAAGACTAGTGGAAGAGAAGCAGGCGCTGTGTTGAAGCAATGAAAACAAATCTCTGGTTTTGGGGTTTTTTTGAAGGGCAGAAACATTGAATACTTTTTCACTTCACATTGTTTCCTTTGGCCTTAATTAACTTGTACTTGTTTTCTTCCCTAGAGGGAATTGCAAAGAAAAGGATTCAGAATTCCCTCTAACTGTAGTGTATTGCTGTTAAAATGGTTAATGTGCCTCAGAAGAAAGACATCTGAGACAGCCATGTCTGAAAATGCATTTTTTGTACTGAGGCTCTTTACTTTTTTCTGGGCTTATCATAGTAGCTCAGTGGCTTTGAACCACATCAGATTAGTTATGAAAACATTGAGAACTTTCTAGACGTTGGGGAGTGTATGGAGTATAGCTAATAAAATTGCTCCTGATAACTTGAGAAAGACCAATAGAATCGAGGAAGAAGAGGTGACCAACATAATTCATTTTCTATGTTCAGAAATACAGCCATTAAAAAAGCTCAGAACTTTGTGGTATTGGCAGTTAAATTTAGCTAAGTCTTCAGTGTAAAATTTGTCAAAATTTTAATGGCAGGCAGGCTGTCTTCTCTGTAGTGCTCTCTAGGGTTTTTTCTCACCAAAGCGAAGCTTCAGCTATCAGTTTCTCGAACTGTTCTTAATGATCACGCTCAGAATAGTGAAGAAATACTTGAGACTTTAGTCTATTTGCAAATTAACTGATTGGAATAATGGGCTGGATTGAGGCCCTTACAAATATCTCTGACAGCAGAAGTGTTTTCCAGCAGTGGTCCGTTTTGATGCTTAGCAGTAAACCTTCTGATGGGCCTGCTCTTAAAGGTGACTCTAAGAGGGTGATTTGATGGATTGCCTTTGTGTTGCACACAGATTTAAGAGACTAAAGTGTAGTGGGTCTTCTGGTTTCTTGTTTGATTTCATCCCTGTGGGGCAGTGTGGTTACTGGGGAAAAGATGGAGCTTTTTGTGGCCGACACGCATTGAGAAGTGTACTTGCAGAAATCACAGAATACTGGGTTTTTCTTGAGGAATAACTGCTGCTGAGGTGTGGGTGAAGAGGAGTCCAACTTGACTTTCAGCTTCCAGTTGTCTGAATTAGGAGCAGGGCAGTAGAAACCAGTGAAGGAAAGGCTGCAGCCTGGTCTCCCCTGACTTTCTGATCAGCTTTTGTGGATGGTAGCGTCTTGGAGAGGTATCTCCTTGGTTGCCAGCCATTGTGGTAAAGGGTACAGGTAACCATCCGATCCCTAAGCCACAGTGTCAGGGAAGTACAAACTTCCTAGCGGGTAGCAGCAGAAAAGACTTTGCTTTCTTCGCGTGAGCACTTGTGTGACTTTCACTGAGGCTTTCCCTGCCCTTGTTTGTCCACATCCAGCAGGCTCCTCATGCATGTAACCCTGCACGCTTGCAGAATCACACAGAATCACTCAACTGTTTTGACCTCAACACTAGCTTGTTTTCGTCTTGCTTCTGAATCTAAACTTTGATGGGTTTATGGACTTAGAAGCCTTCTGGGAACTGCTATATTACTACTTAAAGTTTTCTTGGAGCCCATACAAAGGATTTGGGAGCAGGGAAAGTCAAAAGGAAGTGTGGTAGCAATATGCTTACCAGCTCTGATTACAAAAACAGTGAGACTTGAAGTGTGCAGTCTTTATTTAGCGTGGCTTTCTTTTTTTATCTTTTCAGAACAGGACCAAAAATCTTCTATGTCCTTGCTCTTGCAGCTATATAGGACAGAAATCTATTTAGGGAGAGAGGCTGCAAAGGCTCTTGCCTGGTGAAGGATAAGCGAGACCTATATGCCTTGAAAAGGTATGTATTAGGTTTCTTTGGTTAGAGTCCAGTAGTGATCAATATTCATTTGGATTAAAGTTTTTTCAACCATGTATTATTTTACCACTCTGCTTCAGTGATAGCTGTCACTTCCTGCAAATTCACTGTACAACCTTCTTCCAACTTTTTTTCTTTTTTTCCCCAAGAGGAAAGCTAGTTGCCTTCTTGCACGGATTCAGCCTCTAAAAATAATATCTATTTGTCTGTAAGACTGTACAGCTACAGAAAAAAATTAGCTGCCCAACAGTATTTGTGGGCACATTACAGTTATTTTCACTCTGTTTGCTGTCATTGACTACAGATGAAGGGACAACATTTGCTTTACAACTAGGCATTTTATTCCGTAATGGAGATATTGCAAAACAGTAAATACATGAAAAATATCCGATTCAAATCAGCTGCACAGTCTATTCACAAGAGTGAATGGTACGAAGTAGCTAGCACTACTGTTCTCTCCTTTTGACTTGTGTGTTCTTTGTGTGTTCACAGATCTACTGCAGTTTTCTGTCACTGAACATTATCAAGGAGAAAAACAACTCATCAGTTTGAGGGGATTCTCTTGTAATGTATCCAGGGGCTGCTCCTGTACCAGGAGGTGAAGGAATTAATGGACGCCATGGAAAACTTATTTTTTTCCTTTTTGTTTTTGGAGCCGTCCTGCTCTGTGCTGGATTCCTGCTTTCAGTATTTATCCTACAGTCATGCCCATCTGGAACCTTCAGTGACTGCAACGGGGTCCTTAAGGCAGCTGGGCCTCTGCTGGCCATAACTGGACTAGTTTGTGTTTTATTGGCACGATCCAGGGCCAGGCTCTATATAAGACAGAGACAATTGCAAAATGAGCAGGTATACAGCCTTGTATTTTGTCGAGGGAGCTGCCAGTTCGCCCAGTTTCTTATCTTTGGGTTCCTGTTCTTAACCAGTGGAATGCTGATCAGCATCCTGGGCATTTGGGTTCCCGGCTGCAGCCCCGGCTGGCAGGGTGCACCGTACAACCACACCAGCAGCTCTGAAGTGGATCTGCAGGGCTGTGGCTTCCTGTCGCTGCAAATCATGGGCCCCTTGATTGTGCTCACAGGGTTATGTTTCTTTGTGATAGCTCACGTTAAAAAGAAACAAAACTTAAATCTCAGTGAAGAATCTTGTGAAAATGAAGAACGTCCTCAGAGCCCAGACTCCTTTCAAGTTACAGTAGGTGAGTAAATAATGCATTATCTCTGGGACTCTTTTCACTAACAGCTTACATTTGGTGAATTTTACTCAGATGGACTCTGTGTCTCAATTCTGGCATATCAAACCAGACAATCTCGCATGTTTTCCCCAAAGGTCACTTCAGTTAGCTCTTTTTCTCAGGGATAAAACTGCTCTTTTGGCATTAAAAGAAACATTTGAATGTCTGTGCAAACAAAACCATGTTGTTTGGCACAAATGAGTCTAAGATTACTTCCTTTTCAAAGAGTATAGCTGACACTAAATCACAGATTTAATGACTTCTGTGGCTATATTTGATATCTGTGGAGTTCTGTTGAACCCTTAAACAGGAGAATGTTTCCTATACAGTATTTCGCTGAATAATGGCCAGATTTTCCATGAGACAGATGTAACTGCAAGATGCCACTGTTAATGTGTCTATTCAAGCTCTACGTGATTATGTTAGCAGGATGTGCTCCGCTGCATTTTGCATGTCACTGAGTAGCCCATGAACTGTGTATAGACTTTATGCTGAGAGCTAAAAAGCTATGAGTAATGAGTTGGGCCTGACATTGCTCAGTTGTCACCTCATGACCAGAGCTGAAGTCTGTTATGCACAGTTCTTGCCTCTTCTGGTCGAACCAATGTACAGACCTATAACTTGACGTGCAGAAATGATGAAGGTTTGATATCTATTTCAGAAAAATTAATATTCTTATCCACACTGGAATAGATGTGGATGACATTTTATTAAAAATCCCATTTTAGATATGTAAGGAGAAATAAATACTTGCATATCCTTAAAGTAAACCAACAGAAATGTTGTATGAACATCCAGCTTCTGGAGACAACCAGTGGAAACTAGCATCTGATGGCTAGATGGAACATTTTCGTTCCTCCCTTAGCTGTATTTTCTAGTGAAATATTCCATTTATGAATATGATGCATTTCTCTTGAGATAATTGTTTCTTAATGCACTTCCCATGTACTTTTGTAGCCCAGAACATAACAGTTCTATATGTGGGATCACTTTGTCAAAGGTTGGTACTACAGTACTGACCTGAGACAGGGAAACTTTCTTCTAGGATACAGTTAACAGAGGTGCTGATTGTTTTTTTTAGTGGTAGTAATTGGTGTTTGGGGACTTTGTTCTCGCCCTGCCCAGGTGATGCTGTAATGGTATTCCCACCTCCCCCACCTCCTTATTTTGCTGACCCTCTGTCACCAACTGTGACTCGCTGTCTTATGTCAAGTGGTTTGCCTGCAAGTGAAAACCCTCCACCATACCACACTCTCTTCACTGATGGGTAAGACTTTTCCTGTTTATATCTTGAGAAACAGCTTAGATCATCTTAAACTATGTTATTAAATAAAATGGAATTTACTCTCTCAACTAAGTACTACAAAGTCTTCTTATGTATCACTTCTCAGATACCTTACTAGAACTGACATTAAAATACCATGTTCAAGAGGGAAATCAAAACTAGTGTCCTCAGGAAGGTTAAATTCTAGATAATTATAACTGAAAAGAACTCCTGAAGTGAAGAAACTTTAAATCACTGGCCTTATCTACATATTATTATATACTACTTTCACAGACTGACCAAGAAAAGGTGCCTGTGATAGCAAGGCCTCAGTAGCACAGTTCCCACAGTGGTGGATGTTTGGAAACAACCCACCTGGTGGGTACTTAAGTATAGCAGTGATGTCCAGGCCCTGCACCTTTTGAAGAGCCGTTCTAGCAAGCCTGGTTATAATAATGCCATTACACTGAAGAAGAGGAAGTTCTGTGGTGCTGGAGGAAGGGGGTTGTGATGCAGGAAAGAAAAGATTACGTACTTAATATCTAGAAGTGGTAGGAGACACTGAATGTTCCCACTGATTGAGGTTCAGCTTGAAGGTGATTATACCCTAACTATGTGTATACTGCATGTCCACTGTTTTTCCAGTTAAAATTGTTTGAGAGTGTTTTGTTTGTACAAAGCCAAGGGGAGTCTGATTCTTCTGTGGGGTGCTCTACACATATGCTAATTCACGGTGATGAGAGCAGATGGGAATGTGAGAGTGATGGGGCTGATTAAGCAAAAAACACTTCCCAGAAGCCTGTGACTCCTGTGATGAGGCATGAATTGCTGTGTGGGGGGAAAAAAATTCATTTTGTCAAGTGCAATAGCATTTGACAGTTTTCAGATGGTGAATGTAATATGTGACCTCTACAGCTAAAAGTGTAAAACTAGCTCATATTACTGCAATATACAGACAAGAGCTAGCAAAAGAGGGGGGAGGGCATGCACCTGAAAAGAGCATACAGCGCATCCTGCTCTGAAGAAGGAAAAGCAAAGAGAGGGGAGACGCAAGAGGCAAAAATGTCTTATGACCCTCACACTTACTGGAGCTTCTTGCTGCTGGTGCCTGTACCAAGTGCCCCTCTTCCCCTCACCTCTTTCTCTACCTAATTCTCTGTGACTGGGTCAATTGCCTCAACTAACAAATGTCCTCTGTCTGCTCAAGGTCTCATGTATGACCCCATTAATTCAATCACACCTATGTGGGCTTCTCTAGGTCATGAACATATGTATCCAAGGAGGCAGTTTGCAATCCAACATGTTGGGGCAATTTTTAGTGGGTTAAGTGTTTCTAGTGGGGACATCAGCCTTGGATGTGGAGACCCTGGAGCTCTTGCTTTGGTGGTCTGGGTAGCTCTGACTGGGGAGTTCCAGCTATCACTATTTCCTCTCTCCAGGACCCTCATAGATACTCTGTGAGTTGCCACTGCATCTGGGGGCCCCTCAGCTGTGCTCTGCCATGGCTCAGCACATGGTAGCAGCTAAGGCATCATGAATGTGGCAAACTGGTTCTCCTCCACTCTTGGAGCAAAAGCAGTGGTCTCATTCCTCCTAACCTAGTGCCATGGTTGAAGATCCCAGTCTCTCAAAAGCAGTACTGGTTTGACAGCTGGATGGTTACTGGACAGCTGAGAGTTGCCTCTTCTATATATTGTGCCATGTACTGTCAGCAAGAACTGTGTTGAAGCTTGCAGGAGGGCAGGTCATGGCCTGGTCCCAGGAGTGGATCCCTTCTTCCTGCACAGCGCTTCAGCACTGTATCCTGTTGCAAATTCTCTTGAGATTCCCTGACTGGATTCCGCTCTTTCTCCCATAAACATACACACCAATGACAGCACTAAAGATGAGGTGACTATGCTGTATTCCCACTTGTCAGGCAGTGTTTGTGGGGGCACCGATGTGTACAGAAAGGTATGAATCAGTTCCAGAAGCACATCACGAGGATAAAAAGGTTTTCTTCTTCCTTTTCTTGGGAAGTGGTTTAGGTGAAATGCTGAGATCTTTTAAGCACTGAGGTCCAGTTACTGCCTGGGTGCAGGGTGAAGTGATCAGGTACCAGGGAAGCACAAGTGCAGCCGTTCAATATGTAGTTATAAATGTTAGAGGGACGTACTGAATAGCTGGCTTCAGTCCTTGAGTGTCACTGTGAGCTTGCGCAGTCCATTGCTGTCTAGTTGCTTGT